ACCTATTAGTCATATGTAATCTGTGTGGTTTTCGAACAACTCGTGATAACTTTGCACAATTAAACGTTATAACAGTTATTAAAACGCTTATGTTAGATTTAGCTGCATTGCTGGTGGATTGGTCGCTAAAGTAGTTTTGTTATCTCTGATTCGCGATTGTGACATAGTTCAGAAAGGAATCACGCCCAATACGCGTTATGTAGGGTGTAACCTACAAGAATGTCCAATGAAGTAGAACGCACTGTGGATTTTAACAAATCACGTGCAAGGAAATTTCCAATGTTTTATTGGACGATAACAAACCAATATACTTCTTGTCTTGTCTCTGAACTTGCAGGACTTAATCAATAAATAAGAAAGGCGCGAAAATGGGAGGGGAAATCATATTCAGAAGGAAAAATTGATGCGGAGACAAATGTAGGTGTGGAAACAGGTGATGAGTATCACCTTTGCAGTTAAACTCGTTTAGTTTGGTAAAAAAAGTGGAATTGTTACGTGGTTTGACACTCGTGAAGATTAAAAATCGTGTGTTCCTCGAGTCTACTCATAAAAGTAGTTGATGGCGAGAATGCACTGTATCGTTTTTAATTATGCCATTTAAAATAATTATTTTCATTCTGTAAAAAAAATCATCCGATTGTTTCCAATAGTTTAATCCCTTCATTACAAGGCTTCTTTCGAAATCACGCTTAGAAACATGTATAGCTTTTGATTATTTAAAAGAAGTATTCCTTCGCAGTTTAAAAAAACTGTGTATATGTTCTTTGTATGTAATGTGTCGAAAATGGTTCCTGAATGGCATCTTTCACACCAGCAACCTGACGCCTGCAATGATGGCTTTCTCGTAGAAATTCTATGTGATGGCCGGGAAGCCGCCATTCGTAAGTTCGGTCGCATTATAGCAATAATAATTAAACACCTTAAATGAGACAAAACAGAAACGGAAATTAAATGTAAGGATATAAAATTACTTTTTACATAATTACAAGTAGTATAGAATTAAACAAATGAAATATAATGTGATCCGTGAATACAAGTTGTAAACTGGTCAATTCGAATATAATATAAAGACAATGTAATAAAAAAAAACAAGTCGAATACAATAAGATCTGTTTATAAGACGGCAATATGTTTTAGTAATATATATATATAATAAAGATGTAGAAATATGAAAACATGTTTGATTGTCATAGCAATTTTAATTCATAAACTTCGTAAAAGTATCATTTAAAACAATTCGATTTAATACATGATAAAAGCAATTTCATAACCGAAGTGGAAATAATTCATAACAAAGGAATTAAAAGTAAACAGTTCTGACAAAACTGATTGTTAAATATCTAGGACAACATTCTGCTCAATGCAATTAAACAGTGACCTTGACATCTGACTGTACAACCGACATAGACAACACTAGTGAATCATCTAACATCAATATTTTTACGGACGGGTCTCGTATTAACAACTCTGTAGGATGCAGCTTTGTAATATATAACAATAATACAGAAATCTCTCAACAGATGTTCCGGCTGGATGATAGGTGTACTGTATTTCAAGCCAAACTATTTGCTATTGGGAAAGCAATCGACTATGTCAAACAGACCTATGAGAATGTAGCTGTCGACATATACACCGACTATCTGCATATAATTTAATCAGAAGCAACAAACTACATCCACTGGTCGTAAAAGTTAAAAATTTGATTAAAAAATCGAAATGCAATATATACATTTCTTGGGTCAGAGCCCATCAGGGCCTGAAAGGCAACGAGAGAGCGGATACTCTGGCTAAGTATGCAACCACGAAAGATAGCAACAATACTGAATATAACAAAATTAGTCAACAAACACTGCGGCAACTCTTATGGAAAGACACTTTACTACAGTGGCAAACCACATGGGATCACGATATGCAACACATAACCCACAGGTTTATTCCGGACTTGAAGAAATTTATTAGCATAGACTGGTA